CAGCCACAGCAGCAGTTACGGCAGCAGCAACAGGGACAGCTACAGCAGCAGCAATGGCGTCAGCAGCAACAGCATCTGCAGCAGCAATCTTTCTACCCCCGTCAATACCAGCCCTTTTACAACATTTACCCTCGTTCATCCCATTCTGGTTGGAACTCTGGTACTTGGCAACAGCAGCAGCAGCCTGGCGCCTGGCAGCAGCAGCAGCAGCCTAAAGTTTCAATGGAGTAAAAAAACGGGATGGGGAGGGGGGGTGGGAGGGGCAGAGGAAGAAACGGAGGCAGAGGCAGAGGAGGCGGACAAGCCCGAGGAGGAGGGTATCCATCGGGAAGAGGCTAGAGCAACTGTCTGATCGTGATCTTGCTCTTCACTACTTTTGCAAGATGACAGAATCCCAACTTCAGCGGCATATCCTCAACCAAATTATCTTCAATTTGAGTAGTCGACCCTTGACAAGGAATGAAGAAAAAACCCTTGGCTTCGGACTGAATTTCGTTCCCACTCCTACTCCAACAGAGTTAACCCCAACTGAAGAAATCATGAGGGAGTACGATGTCTTCGCCCGAATCCTTCGCCTTCAAAATTTCTTTGGGTCATCATCCGCCGGTAATCAATTTCGCATCCGGAATTCAACATGGGAAGTTCCTGCTGATAAGAAGAACACTCAGCTGGAGGGCATTCTGGAGAAATACAGACGAGAACTGCAGCAGCTGAATCAGAAGGTGCAACCAAAGCGACATTCAAATCTGTCTCAACTCCTAAGATGCCCTTGCTGTTGGCGCCCTTGCTCTTGGCGCGGTGGCTGTTGGCGCGGTGGCTGTTGGCATGCTTGCTGCTGGCGCACTTGATGCTGGCGCATTTGCTTTTGGCGCACTTGCTTTTGGCGTCCTTGCTGTCGGCGCACTTGTTGTTGGCGCACTTGCAATTGGCGCACTTGTTGTTGGCGCGCTTGCTGTTGGCGCACTTGAAGTTGGCGCACTTGCTCTTGGCGCACTTGCTTTTGGCGCCCTTGCTATCGGCGCACTTGCTGTTGGCGCACTTGCTGCTGGTGCACTTGCTGTTGGCGCACTTGATGTTGGCGTACTTGCTATTAGCACACTTGCAATTGGCGCACTTGCTGTCGGCACACTTGCTGTTGGCGCGCTTGCTGTCGGCGTGCTTGCTGTGGGGGCGCTTGCTGTCGGTGCGCTTGCGGTTGGCTGTCGGCGTGCTTGCTGTTGGCGTGCTTGCTGTTGGTGCGCTTGCTATTGGCGCCCTTGCTATTGGCGCGCTTGCTGTTGGCACGCTTGCTGTTGGCGCGCTTACTGTGGGCACGGTTGTTTTGGGCACGCTTGCTATGGGCGCGCTTGCTGTCGGCGCACCTGCTGTCGGCGCGCTTGCTGTCTGCGCTCATTCTATCGGCGTGCTTGCTGTTGGCGCGCTCGCTGTTGGCGCGCTTGCTGTTGGTGCGCTTGCTGTTGGCTCGCCCGCTGTTGGCATGCTTGCTGTTGGCGCACTTGCTTTCGGCGTACTTGCTGTCGGCGCACTTGCTGTCGGTGCCCTTGCTGCTGGCGCGCTTGCTGTTGGTGCCCTTGCGCTGTTGGCGCGCTCGCTGTTGGCACGCTCGCTGTTGGCGCGCTCGCTGTTGGCGCGCTTGCTATCGGCACGCTTGCTGTTGGCATGCTTGCTGCTGGCGCACTTGCTGTTGGCATTCTTGATGTTGGCGCATTTGATTTCGGCGCACTTGCTTTTGGTGCCCTTGCTTTTGGTGCCCTTGTTGTTGGCGCACTTACTGTTGGCGCACTTGCTGTTGGCGCACTTGCTCTTGCACTTGCCTGGGCACACTTGCTGTTGGCGCGCTCGCTATTGGCGCGTTTGCTGTTGGCGCGCTTGCTATTGGCGCGCTCGCTGTTGGCATGCTTGCTGTTGGCGCACTTGATGTTGGCGCACTTGATGTTGGCACACTTGCTTTTGGCGCCCTTGCTGTTGGCGCCCTCGCTGTTGGCGCGCTCGCTGTTGGCGCGCTCGCTGTTGGCGTGCTCGTTGTTGGAGCGCTTCCTGTCGGCACGCTTGCTGTTGGCGCACTTGCTGTTGGCACACTTGATGTTGGCGCACTTGATGTTGGCGCACTTGCTTTTGGCGCACTTGCTTTTGGCGCCCTTGCTGTCGGCTTACTTGCTGTTGGCGCACTTGCTGTTGGCGCACTTGTTGTTGACGTGCTTGCTGTTGCCGCACTTGTTGTTGGCGCACTTTCCTTTGGTGCACTTGCTATTGGTGCACTTGCTGTTGCACCATCCACCACGCACGCCATGCACCGTGCACCATACATCTCCTACTATTCCTCTGTAGTTTTTCATTCTACGCTATTTCCTTCCATTTCTCCTCGCCGCCTTTCATTCTTTATTCCCTAAGTTTCGCTTTTAGTTTTATTATTTGCTCTCCCCACTATGCATCTTGTTTTTTTTCCTCTTGTACACAGCCAGTCCTCTCGATTGGGCTCGTTTGAATTTCATCAGCTAGCAAACTTGCCAATTTGCTCAGTTGCAAGTTTGTTGCGAGCATATACTGATATGTGTTAGTTATTAGTTCTTTGATAATTCTTTCCGCTTTGGTCTCTCATCGTTGCCTGTATGCGCCCTATTCATGTCGTGTATTTCACATCGTCTTCGTGCCCTCTTTGTCCTTCCATGAAATGTTCCTCTCTTCAGTTTTCCTTTCTACACTTTGGCTCCTGCCTCTTGCCCTTTCTTCCCCTTCTCTGCCTTAACCTCCCTTGTGATAACCATCGGTTCGTACTTGCAACTGAGGGCGCATCATTTGGTTGTACAAACTGCAGCTACATTTGTGCATTGCCAACGGGGTGCAGGGGGGGAACGAGGTGTGGGGGGGGGGAGGGGGGAGGATGGTAGGGAGCAGAGGGGAAGGGGGGTGGGGGGTAGTAGGGGGAGGGGGAGAGTGTGCTTCAACGCAACTAGCAATAAATGAGTAGTTTAGCCTATTCGACTTTTGTGATGTTTTGCTCAGAGTTCTTGTGTGTGCTGTTATTGCCTGTACTCCCATGATGTGTGGTTTCTATCCTTTTCGTCATGTTGATTTTTTCCCCTTACTTTCTCGCCCTTCTTTTTCCCTCTTGCTTATTGTGGGTGTTTTCATATGTCCTGGGTCTGTAAGTGTATGCTGGATTGCATGGTATGAATCGTTATGTAATCATCACTGTCGGTGTCGTATTTGTGTGGAGTGATGCATGTATATGTCAAGTGCTTTACGCAAGTTGTAGTTGTCGTTGTCGGCTTGGAAAGCATCGCTTCCAAAACGTACATGTCAACCTCACTTGCAGCATGGAAGCATTCGTGTATCGCTTCATTGCATTTACAACATGTGTTATACCACGTTCGCATATCGTATGTGTTTGTGCTGAAGTGGTGCATATATGCCAAGTGCATTACGCAAATTGCGGTTGTCGTTGTCGGCTTGGAAACATTGCTTCCAAAACGTACATGTCAACCTCATTTGCAGCGCGGAAGCATTTGTGTATCGCTTCATTGCATTCACGTCATCGCTACGCGTTTGCATACTGTATGTGCGTCTATTGGAGTGGTGCACATATGCCAAGTGCAAACGCTTATTGTGGTTGTCGTTGTCGGCTTGAAAGTAATGCTTTTAAGACGTACATCTCAACCCACTTGCAGTACGAAAGCATTCATGTATCGTTTCAATGCATTCATGGCATCATTACTTGTTTGCATGTTGTACGTAAGTGCGTGTACTGGGGTGGTGCATATATGCCAAGTGCAAAATGCAAACTGCGATTGTCGTTGTCGGTTTGGAAGCTAAGCTTCCATAACGTACATGTCAGCCCCATTTGCAGCATTGAAGCATTCGTGTACTATCTCATACATTCACATTATTATACGTGTGCAATATTTGTGGGTGCTTCAAAAGCTTGTTGTTGGTGTGCGATTCTGTTATTCCACTGCCGTATTCATCGACGATGGAATGGTAGAAGCGGTGCACAACCCCAATGAACTACCAAATATTGCACGTGAGCATAATTTCCGTTTCGTTTGTTTTGTGTGTTATTTTATTAGTTCGTTTGTTTCAAGTAATGAGTCACTGTGGTGTGGTATTTATTGTTGTTTGTGTACGAAGTGGAATGGAAGAGGATGTGTGATTTTTAGTGGAATGTGTGTATAGTGGAATGATCTATGTAACATGTGGATGTTTCGAAAGGTTTGTGCGCAATTCTTGCATAAAACGAAGAATTGCGACAATGTACGTTTTTATACCATTGTCCGCTGTAGTTATCGAAGAGCATTGGTAGATGAAACATACATTTTAAGTGTATCAGAGCAGTATACGGATGTAAAGTACATTAAAAAGGGCAATTTAAAAGTGTAGTAACCTTGGCGCACAAAAACATGAAACCAAATTTATAAGGTTGCTACCCAACCCAAAAACCCTTCTCCTTTAGCTTGGAACAGGTGTACGATCAAATTGTACCACCTGCCCGTATGACGCAACCCATGCAAAACTGTGGAATTCTTCCAGGAGCCGATACATCTGCCGCTTCTTCCGCTCCACTGCGCCATCTATCCTGGAGTCGCAGATGTAATTGTAATTTTCCAGCGCCGCGCCAGTGAACCTGCGCCAAGTGCGCATGCACGTCTTTCGAGTTTCTTTTCTCGCGAAACCCTATTGGATCGTTCCGAAATCCAGACAAATCGATTTTGAACGTAAAGAACCTTACAGTAACGCATCAACGTCAAACCTTGTGGTGCGTCCAAAGGGCGCGGTTCCTAAAGTTCGTGTTGCTACCAATAATCATTCGAAGGTTTTTCTTCAAATCCCACCTAATCAGAGGCAGATGTATACTCGCGACGGACTAGCGAAACCAGGTAACCTGTTGAGAAGGTTGTCTTAACGCCCAAATCTCTAGGGTCCACGCCCTCAGTGTTCAGCCTTCGCCTTCCCAACTGCAATGCCTGCACTTCATCGGTTCAGATCAGAATCGACTGCGCATGCCGTACACCAGCGATTGCCTTCACAGCTTTAACTCTCGAGTCTCGCCTTCATTCTCCAGCAACGCGTTCAGTAGGCTCTTGTTCGTTGTCCTACTGCACACCTTCAGTCTTCAGCAACGCATTCAGTAGGACGAGCTACTGCACACCCTTGTTCGCGGAGTGACTGTTTGTAATTCGCGAAGGCAGTCGCCACTCAGGTTACACGCCAAATTCAGATAGATAGTCCCTCTAGAACAAAGTTATCGGCCCCTTCTCGGCTCCGAAACCGTGGGATATCCGTGAACCTAGTAGGCTCGATTCCATTTCCTTGAGTCAAAGACGTCCGCGAGCTGTCAGGAATATCTAGCTTCGTAAAAACGAGTTTGACAGACCGTCCTGATTAAACTAGTTTGAGGGTTCCCAGAACACGAGAGGACTCGACAATTCTCCCGTCCATTTGAGTGTGTAAACCGGTCGTATTAGTCGCCATGGGTTGTTGTCGCATCGCCTGCCAGCAGAGCCGCTGTCGTCGCACAGCCGCTCGCAGCTGCTCTTACGGCGCTCGCCCGGTCTTTTTTGCGCCGCTTCTGCTCCTCGCCGTGCTCGCAAACGGCAGCGTCGCTGCCCAAGGTACAGACCGGCTGTAGCGCTACTCGCTTTGCCAAGGAACTTCCAGGAAACGCAATAAATCTGGCTTCATTATTAGTGTTTACTACTCCGTCCCTCATCGCCTCCATCCCCTCCCATCCGTCGTTTTCCTATCCGCCTCCCGCTGCCCCTCCATCTGTTCACCCCTCCCTCCCTTCCAGAAGTTTCAGTGCAGCGCGGAATCCCACGGTGGCCGTCGCGGGACCCGAGAACGCGATCAGTTCTTGCCTTCCTGTCCAGCTCTCTCGTTGACTCCACCCGTTCTCCTCACCCCCTCATTCCCCCCCACTCTCCATGTGCCCCCCCGTTCCCCGCGCCCCCCGCTCCTCTCGGCCACCCCTTCCAGCCCAGAAGTTTCAGTGCAGCGGGAATCCCGCGGTTACTTTCGTGAAGCCCACGCGAACCGGTTCTTCCCCTTCCTGCCCCTTCCTCCCATCCGCCCTTTTTCTCTATCTTCTACCGCCCCCTTCCCCATTTTTTCTCCCTTCCAGCCCAGAAGTTTCAGTGCAGCGCGAATCCCGCGGTTGCTGCCGTGAAGCCCAAGTACGCGAACCGGTTTTTCCGGGAGATCAGCACCTTGTACAACATGTCGTCCGGGGAGAGCCTGATTGAGTCGGCTAAACGGCAGCTGACAAGTGGGAGCTTCTCCTTCGGCCTCAACTGGGCGGACGACCCCCGGCTGGAGTCGGTGCTCGCTTTGCGCAGCGAAGGGAAATGCAGTGAGTGTGCGGGGGGGGGGGCTTTAGAGTTGACTCGAAAGCACCTGCTACAGCATGTCGTCGGGGGAGAGCCCGATTGAGACGGCTAGACGGCAGCTCACGGGGGGGAGCTTCTCCTTCCGCCACAACTGGGCGGACGACCCCCAGCTCGAGTCGGTTCTCGCTCTGCGCAGCGAAGGGAAATGCAGTGAGTGTGCGTGTCGAACCCGGTTAGAGCGCGTGGCTGAGATGATGATGCCGCGCGCAGGCGGCTGGCACGCAACGGGCACACGCTGGCACACGCGTCTAGCGAGCACGTGATGGGGGAGGAAAGGAGGGGGGTGCTCACTGAGTGGGTAGATTGGGCTAGGGCGGGGTTGAGAGCGAGCAAAGCGAGTTCCACTCTCCCGCCCTGCGCAGGTCTCGATACCTAGTATCCCGAGCATTGATTTCAATATGGCCTAAGTATCCCACAAGGAGATTTATGCTACGACCCCCAGAAGGAGACAGTTTCCTCAACCCTTTTCCACTTCGCCGCCTTCCCCACCCCCCCTTCCCCCTTACCCCCCCCTTCCCCCTCCCCTTGCGCAGGGTCATCATGGGCCATCACAGCCGTGAGCGCAGTGGAGATGGCGTACGCGTTAGTGGCCGCCTCGACACCCTCCATGGACCCTCCTGCGCAGATATCGCTACAGCAGGTGTGTGCAACGCGAGCACAGGTTAGCTGATCGCACCCATGCTCACACAAGGTTGTGTGCCACACGACAAAGCGGGGGTCAACAACAAGAGGTCGCAAATGGTTGCGTTTGAAACCCCTGGGGGAAAGAGGAGTCAGTGGAACGGAACGCGTCTCCAGAGGAGTGATTTTTAAGAATGCTGGAACTCTAAACAAAAGACCCCATTGGTGTAACAGGAGTCAGTGGAATGGAACGCAGGGTGTTTTTGCGAATTCTCAAAAGCACCCTTTAAAAATGTCCCCTGGGTGTACGAGGAGTCAGTGGAACGGAACATGTCTCCAGGTGATGGGCGACACTGCAACGTTTTTATCATCATGATCATCCGCCCCTCCGCCATCCGCCCATCATGATCATCCCCCCTTTCAGGTCCTCCAGTGCGAGCCCAGCAGCAGCAGCTGCGCGGGAGGGCTGACCTAGCCCTGGCTGGACTACATGGCTGACGCCTCCCCCACTTCCCATTCCCCCCCCTCCCCCCCCCCCTCCTCCCAACCCTCCCCCTCTTGCAACCCCTCGCCCCCACCTCCCCCTCCCAGGTGCTCGATTGCGAGCCCAGCAGCAGCAGCTGCGGTGGCGGCGGGTGGCCCACGGCAGCGCTGGACTACATGGTGGACGCCACCAACCAGTGGGGCGGCATCGCCACTGAGACTGCGTACCCGTACGCACAGAAGACCGGAAAATGCAGCCGGGGAAAGGTATGGTGAGGGAGGGTGCTTTTGGGGAAGGTGGGCTCTGGGATAGGAGCAGTGGGCGAGGGTGCTTCTTGGGGGGGCATCGCCACTTACGCTGCGTACCCGTACGCGCAGAGGGCCGGGAAATGCAAGCGGGCGACGTAGGATAACGAAGAGGGGTGGGGAGGGCTGCGAGGGGGTGTGCAGTGAGGGGGTTGGGGGGGACACCACTGAGGCTGCATTCCCGTGCGCGTAGACGGGGGGGAGGTGTTACCAGGGGAAGGTAGGGGAGCAGGGGAAATGTGCAGTGGGTGCCGGGGGGGGGGGGTGATACGGGGGAAGGGTAGGACTGGGCGGACTTGTGGTTCACACTGTTACCACGTTCCATATTATGATGTCGCACAGTACCATGTACCGTACTTGACATGCTGACATGCTGCCATGCTGCCATGCTGCCATGTTGACATGCTGCCATGCTGCCATGTTGACATGCTGACATGCTGACATGCTGCCATGCTGCCATGCTGACATGCTGCCATGCTGACATGCTGCCATGCTGCCATGCTGCCATGCTGCCATGCTGCCATGCTGACATGCTGACATGCTGACATGCTGCCATGCTGCCATGCTGCCATGCTGCCATGCTGCCATGCTGACATGCTGCCATGCTGCCATGCTGCCATGCTGCCATGCTGCCATGCTGACATGCTGCCATGCTGACATGCTGACATGCTGACATGCTGACATGCTGCCATGCTGCCATGCTGACATGCTGCCATGCTGCCATGCTGACATGCTGCCATGCTGACATGCTGCCGTGCTGACATGCTGCCATGCTGACATGCTGTGATGCTGCCATGCTGACATGCTGTCATGTTCGTCTTCTGTGTCCCATCGCTCCCCAGGCCAAGGAGGTAACGACCATAGGCGTGACAGGGTACGACCAGGTGGTCTTCCGACTCACCCATTCCTGGTCACCCTTTCTGGCATTTGCACCCTCTCATTGTGCTCTCTGTGCCCCTCCCAGGCGAAGGACGCAACGACCATAGGCGTGACAGGGTACGACCAGGTGGACTTCTATGGCTGGATGGGTCTTCTCCTGGCTGTGAATGTGAGTGCCACTGCGCCCTGGTTGCTTAGGTAAGTGTTGGTGGTGGTGTTTATAAACTGCCACCGTCCTCTATCCTCCTACCACCCCTCCTCCCATCCACTCTCGGCGATCCTCCCAATCACCAACATTTTGCCTCGGCCCCTTTGGCTCCCTCCCACAGGTTAGTCCCACCAATCCGTTGTCTCTCATTTGCACACCTAAAGTTAAGGGTTCAGGTATAGGGCTTAGGGTTGACAGTTAACGATTCATGGTTTAGGGCTTTTCCCTGCCACGGGTTAATCACCTCACATCCCTCCTTCCCACTCTTTGGGCGCCCATTGTCTCCCTGCCACAGGTTCAGCCCACTATTGCGCTCGTCCGAGGCAGCCACCCCTCTTTCCAGACCTACACAGGGGCAACTGAGGTGAGTGAAAGAACTGTGGCGAGTGAAGCGAGGAGAGGCGAGTGAAGCGAGGAGAGGCGAGTGAAACGAACAGAGGTGAGTGAAGCGACCTTCGATCCGAGTTGAGTTGAGTGTATCATTCACTTGTTCCAACCTTTGTTTCGTTACCATCCCTCGTACCGTGGAATCTCCTCCTCGCACGCCATCCCCTTCCATACTGCCTCTCGCATCTCGTGCCCCGTGCCCTCTTCTCCCCTCGCATTCCCCCTCTCACGGTCTGCACGCACTTTGAGGGGGAAGGGGGATGCCTCCAAAACTGTACCCCCAGGGTGTGCGGCAGCAGGGCTGGTGGATCACAGTGTGCTGGTGATGGGGCATCGCCTTACCCGGTGGTGCAACTCCTCCCCTCTCCTCTCCGTCCTTCTTGTCCTCCCCCCTCCCACTTAAGAGAATCTTCGGTGACCTGGCGCGTGCGGCAGCAGGGTTGAACCACACCACAGTGTGCTGCTGGTACATGGGGAATCCCCATCTCCCTGTCCTCCTGACCCCTCATGCCCTCTCATCCCCTCTCCCCTTCCTTTTCAGAAAATATACAGCGACCCAGCATGTGCGGCAGCGGGGGTGGTGGACCACAGCGTCCTGGTGATGGGGTATAACATCGGCCAATGGGGCGCGTATTGGATCCTGCGCAACTCCTGGGGCGCCAAGTGGGGCATCCAGGTGAGTAACCACGTGGGGCATCCAGGTGAGTAACCACGTGGGGCATCCAGGTGAGTAACCACGTGGGGCATCCAGGTGAGTAACCACGTGGGGCGTCCAGGTGAGTAACCACGTGGGGCGTCCAGGTGAGTAACCACGTGGGGCGTCCAGGTGAGTAACCACGTGGGGCGTCCAGGTGAGTAACCACGTGGGGCGTCCAGGTGCGGTGCAGGGGTGTGCGCAAGCAGGGGTGGGGAACGGCATAGTGGAGAGTCGGGCGTATGCTGCTGGGAGCAACGCCTGGGCCACCAACTGGACCGTCCAGGTTTTAGGAGTCTATTTTTGAGGCGCCTCAAAAGTAGAGTCGGGCCTACTGGATGCTGCGCAACGCCTGGGGCACCAAGTGGGCCGTCCAGGTGAGTTGCATGGTCGTGATTCCGGACGCCTTCGTAAATGTAGCATTAATGTACACAGCGTGTATATTGGCGTGTCCCCATTAACGCATGCGTACTCCGTCTGTTGCACGATTGCATCGATATTCTCCTCTACCCTCCATCTGCTCATCCCTCCTCTCCTCCCCGTTCCTCCAGTCTTCTCCCTCTGAGTCCCTTACAGGGTCACATGGCGATGGCCATGACAGGAGGCATTGGCACGATAACTTTTGAGTCTTTTGAGTCGACTCAAAAACCCTCTCCTCTCTCCCTATGTCTCCCTCCGTTCTTGCAGGGCCACATGGCGATGGCCATGACAGGAGGCAGCGGCATCTGCGGCATTCACTCCGTGCCGGCCATCTACCCTGTCATCAAGAGTAAGGGGAATTGACCCTGTTAAAGAAAGCTAGTGTGCAGATGCTACGTGCAGTGCAGTTGCTGGACACACAACCCCCTGGAACTATTGGTTTTGTTCACGCTTTAGCATCCGAGCGACCTTCAATTTCCACGCTTGAAGCTCAATGACTGACCACTTGACTCTGTGCATCGCTCGAACCTTGATTGACTCTGACCCGTTTCCCAATCCTTCATTTATTTTCGCGTTTTGCTCTTTGCGCTCAGTCAAGGTCTTGTCTCGTTGCGCTAGGTCAAGTACACTTTGGCCCGTGACCTCCTCCACCCCCCTCACGCCCCTCCGCAATTCAGCTGCCTCGCCCTGCCACTCGCGCCTGCGGGACCGGCACATGTGACTGCTGCCTGGCGTTCGAACCCATTCCCGTGCTCCCGCACACCCATCTCTCCCTCCCCCCCCCCATCTGCCTCCCCCTATCTGCCTCCCCCCATCTGCCTCCCCCTATCTGCCTCCCCCCATCTGCCTCCCTCCCCTCCACACTCCAGCCTGTTCCCCCTGCAAGTCGCATCAGAACCCATGCGGGGGAGGCATATGTGTGCCCGGGGCGAATGGCACCTACACTTGCAAGTGTCTGAAGCCGCTATTTCTGCCTGCGGCTGACAGGGGTGGCGCGCAGACGTGTGTGTGGGGTGAGTTGGTAGTCCAGGGGACGTACTGGTGCTGCTGAAAGGGAGGGACGGCTCTATTCCCCCATGTGCGCCGGTTTCCATGAATTCCCATGTGGCCGCACAGCTCGTTCGCTCTGCCCGCTGTTGGTATGATGGAAATGGCTTCAGAAACACCCAGCTCACATTCCTTGTTCCCCACTTGCCACGTGCCATCTTCCCCCACTTGCCACGCGCCATCTTCCCCCACTTGCCACGTGCCATCTTCCCCCACTTGCCATGTGCCATTTTCCCCCACTTGCCACGTGCCATCTTCCCCCACTTGCCACGTGCCATCTTCCCCCACCTGCACCTCCCCTCCCCTCCCCTCCCCTCCCTTCCCCTCCCCCTCAACCCCCCACTCCCCCCCCCCACCCCCTCTCCCCTTTCAGCTGACGTCTGCTGGGTGCAGGACGAAAACACTCCTTCCCCTCGCCCTCCCCCTCCCCCTCCCTCCCCCTCTCCTCTCCTTTCAGCTGGCGTATGCAGATTGCAAGGGGAAAATCCATGTGCTGTCGGCACGTTAGGCAGCCAAAATGACAAGGATCCTCCCCTTCCCCCTCTCCGCATTGGTCCCTTCTCCAGCTGACGTGTGCAGCGTGCAAGACGAGAACCCGTGTGCAGTCGGCACGTGCATCAACGACCAAGTGGGCGGCTATGTTTGCCTCTGCCCACCAGGATTCGTCCAAGGGGTTCGTCCCAACGGCTCCCCCACATGCGTCCCAAGTCAGTTTCCTTTTAACCAAAGCCCTTTTTTGTGTGTGTATGGTACAGCCAACCTAAGCCATCCTTGTATTGGCCCACCCTTGTTCTTTTGCTTCTCGCTCACCTTTCTGCATTTCTTACTGCCTTTCTTTCTGCCTCCTGCTTTCCATCTCCTTCCTCCCTCCACCCTTCCTCTGTACCTTGACTGCCCTCTTGCACATTATCTCTACCCCCCGCCCCCTCTCCCCGCTCCAGCCTCTCCTTTCCCTGCCCTCTCACCCCTGCCCTCTCACCCCTGCCCTCTCACCCCTTCCTTTCTCCACCTTCCTCTGCCCACACGTAATCCCACTTTCATCTATGCTCAACCCCCTTTCATCTGTCCCCACCCCCGGTTCATCCCCCCCCAACTGGACCTCCCTCCAGCCACATCTTCCCCCACCACCCTCTCCTTCCCGGTGGACGTGGACTGCCCCCTTGTCTACCAGCTCTTTGGCCTCACTGAGGAGGCATTCCTCGCTCAAAACCCCCAACTGGTGAGCTCTTCCTCCCCAGATGTTCCTCCCCAGATGTTCCTCCCCAAATGTTCCTCCCCAGCTGTTCCTTCCCAGATGTTCCTTCACCGAGCAAGTGCTCCTTCACGTCTCACTCCATGTCTCACTCCATGTCTCACTCATGCCTCACTCCATGTCTAACTCCATCTCTCACTCCATGTCTCACTCCATGTCTCACTCCATGTCTCACTCCATGTCTCACGCATGGGCTCTGTCAAATGCGATTTATTCTTCTCCTGGACCCCGAGGACCCAACGCTTGCTCACTTCTCCCTCCATGCACACCCATACCCACCAGGAGGTGGATTACTGCAACTCCATTCCCGCCAACACAACAGTCAGCGTGGTGCCGCTTCTCACGGGCTCCGTGCACTGCGGCTCGTTCTAGTCCTGGACCCCGGAGGACTCAACCCTAGCACCCTTCTCCCATCCTATGCACTCCCTATCACCCCATGCATCCCACCCCACCAGGAGATGGACTACTGCGACACCATTCCAGCCAACACGGAAGTGAGCGTGGTGCCGCCTCTCATGGGTTCCGTGCACTGCGGCTCGTTCTACTCCTGGACCCCCGAGGACTCGTGCGAATCTGTGGCGGATGCGTTTGGGCTGACTGTGGATGAGCTGGTGGCGCTGAACCCGGGCGTCAACTGCACGGATGCCTCTGCAGACAATGCTCCCCGCGAGAACCAGCAGGTTAGTCGGTTTGGCTGCAGCGTTTAAGCTTCAAGTGGTTGGCTATTGACGAGGCTGAACCCAAGGATCAACTGCCCTGCAGACAGCTGGTGGAGCTGGTGGAGCTGGTGGTGCTGAACCCGGGCGTCAGCTACACGGATGCCTCTGCAGGCAATGCTCCCCATGAGAACCAGCAGGTGAGAGAGACAGAGTGGTGATCAGATTTAGGGTTCAGGGAGTGCCTTGGGCTGACTGTGGATCACCTGGTGGTGCTAAACCCGGGCGTCAGCTGCACGGATGCCTCTGCAGGCAACGCTCCCCACCAGAACCATCAGGATTGTATGTACATTGGCAGCCGTTTGGTGGATTTGGTTGTGGACCATGGATCGGTTGGTGGCGTTGAACCCGGGCGTCAACTGGATGGATAGCACTGGGGACATTTCTCCTTGCGAGAATCAGCAGGTGAGGCGGAGTGATGAGCGCGGGTTTTGAGAGCAACAAATGTCATGCTCCCATTGCAAGCACATGTCCCTGCACTCCTTACTCTCCCTACAGCCGTGTGTGTCGGAGGGCAATTGAGCGGACTTACCCATGTGCACGGTGTGGAACACGGGGCAGTTGGGGGACACATGTGAGAGCACCATGGCACCCACTCTCCCTTCCCCCATGCCCCACCTCCTCTTCCTGCAGCTGTGTGTCTCAGAGGGCAACGGCGCTGATCTACCCATGTGCACACAGTGGTACACGGTGCAGGCAGGGGACACATGCGACAGCATCATGGCGGACAATGCCCTCAACGATACCACCTTCTTCTCGCTCAACCCGGGGGTGTGCTGCGACAGCCTCTTCCCCTCCTTCGGAGGAGAGGACATGGGCTGGGTCGGCGGCGGTGTGCAGGTGAGAGGTGACTGTTAGGTATTTAGGTGAGGTTGGCTATTGGGGTGATTGGCTCTGCGTTCTCCTCATGTATTCCACCCTTAACCCGCGGGTGTGCTGCGACAGCCTCTTCCCGTCCTTCGGAGGGGAGGACATGGGTTGGAGCGGCGGCTGTGTGCAGGTGAGGGGATGGGTTGCTGGGATGAGGGCGAGATGATTGGGTCTGTTTCTCCCTCAACCTGGGGGTGTGCTGCGACAGCCTCTTCCACTCCTTGGGAGGGGAGGACATGGCTTGGGACGGCGGCGGTGTGCAAGTGAGGGCTGGTTTTGAGGTGAGAGGGTCTTCTCTCTTTGTGTGTTCTGCGCTCAACCCGGGGGTGGGCTGCGCTGCGACGGCCAGGTATTGTTGTCTTCTGGAGGGGCTGACATGGGTTGGAGCAGTGGTGGAGGGGTGCTTGTGAGGGGCGTGAATTTTGGGGCTTGGTTTTGTTTTCCTTGTGCGTCTCACGCTGCAGCCGGGGGTGGGTTGCGACAGCTTCTTGCCGTCCTTCGGAGGGCTGACCCAGGTAAGAGTGGCGGCAGGTGTGCATGTGAGGGATCGGTTGTGAAGTGAGTGTACAGCGGTTTGGTTTTTATTTTTTTTCAATGACTCAAAAGCATTGAGGCGATTGCCGGGCAACCACAGCATGACCACGGTATGACCACGGCATGACCACGGCATGACCACGGCATGACCATGGCATGACCATGGCATGACCATGGCATGACCACGGCATGACCACGGCATGACCATGGCATGACCGCAGCATGACCACGGCATGACCGCGGCATGACCACGGCATGACCGCGGCATGACCACGGCATGACCGCGGCATGACCACGGCATGACCACGGCATGATCACGGCATGACCACGGCATGACCACGGCATGAGCACGGCATGACCACGGCATGACCACGGCATGACCACGGCATGACCATGGCATGCATGGAAAGCCAAGGCACGTCAAGGCTCCACCCACCCAAGACATCAGCACCACCAACACAAGACATCAGCCCCACCCACCCAAGACGTCAGTCCCACCCAACCAAGACGTCAGCCCCACCCACCCAAGACATCAGCCCTACCCACCCAAGACATCAGCCCCAACCACCCAAGACATCAGCACCATGTACTTGAATGGTGCACCATCCACCTTGGCTTCCGAAGGCAAGTCACATAAAAACGTCTCTGCACCTCAACACGCTGAGTTGAACTCCCTGTCTCTCCACCCTCTCATCTTCCTTCCCTCCCACCTTTCTTCTCCCCACTCTCTCATGTTCGTCCCTCCCACCTTGTCTCGCCCAGGTGTGCATCGACGCATACCTAGTGGATGCACCTGGTCCATACGCCACTCCCCGCTCACTCCGGGAGCTACCTGCTGCCCTCTCATCCCTCCCCTCCTCTCATCCATCGCTCCCCTCATTTCACCCTTCCCACTCCTCCTCCTCCTCCTCCTCCTCTTTCTCATCCTCCTCGTCCTTGTCAACGAGAGGGAGACTGCTGGGCCTCGACCACTCCTCGCCCCACTCCTCATCATTTCCTCAACTCCCAACCCTCTCTGCTCCCCGCTCATCTCGCTCAATGAGAGGGCGACAGCTGGCGAGGGCGAGAACCAAGTGCAAGGCGTCCTACTCGGTGACCCGAGGGGACTTCTGTGCGCGGATCATAGCGCTCAAGTTCCAGAACAGCGCTCGCAAGATGGCGGATTTGAACAGCGGCTATGTGTGTGTCAATGACAGGCTGTATGTGGGGCTGACGCTTTGCACTAGGAGGTGACAGCAGGGGTTTCTTGGCTGTCATGTGTGCCTCTGGGAAAGATGGCGGATTTGTAGTGTGCGGTACGCAGTCATTGTCGTCACTGACACCAGATGCAGGTACCATTAGGCATGTATTATGTGCAATATGCATGTATGGACTTCGCACAACAAGTTCATGTGCACATCCTGCATGCGGTGTGGAGAGACACCAGACGTAGCCACCCACCCACCCACATCCTGCATGCGATGTGGAGACCACCCAGCCGTCCACCCACATCCTGCATGTGGTGTGGAGACATCAGCTGCGGCAGCCTCTCCCACCCACACCATTATAGAAATCACATAAACTCATCAACATTCAAATTAGAACACTTCACAAGTCAGACTAAGACAAGCCACAGTAAAATTAAGATGAAAGGTGAACCCGCAGCTCGTAGAGCCATAACCTCACTGCAGAGCCCTCTGCGCCCTGTATAGCTCCTCCTTTGTGCAATCAAACACCATGGACTCCATGTTGCTGCATGCATTCGCAGCAGCTGGCACATACATCATCTCCAGGTCCCCGCTACCTTGAATCATGACCTCACACTTGCTGATGTCATCCGGGGTAAGGTACAGCTCATCTGGGGCCAAGTACAGCTCATCGAAGCACCCACTCGGAACCGAAACCAAACCCCCAACCTGCTCCTCAGCCCGATGCCCAGCATCACCCATCTCACTGCATTGCCACGAATCGGTGAAGCAGCGCCTACCCGTGCTGCCCATGCCCATGCCGTTGCTCTCAACCCCGTTCAGCTGACCTGGGTAGGCACAGCTGCTGGTCCATGTCTCACTCCATGTCTCACTCCATGTCTCACTCCATGTCTCACTCCATGTCTCACTCCATGTCTCACTCCATGTCTCACTCCATGTCTCATTCCATGTCTAATTCCATGTCTCACTCCATGTCTCACTCCATGTCTCACTCCATGTCTCACTCCATGTCTCAATCCATGCCTCACTCCATGTCTCACTCCATGTCTCACTCCATGTCTCATTCCATGTCTCACTCCATGTCGGACTCCATGTCTCACTCCATGTCTCACTCCATGTCTCACGCATGGGCTACGTCAAATGGGATTTATCCTACTCCTGGACCCCCGAGGACCCAGCGCTTGCTCACTTCTCCCTCCATGCACACCCATACCCACCAGGAGGTGGGTTACTGCGACTTCATTCCCGCCAACACAACAGTTAGCATGGTGCCGGCCCTCACGGGCTCCATGCACTGCGGCTCGTTCTAGTCCTGGACCCCCAAGGACTCAACCCTAGCACCCTTCTCCCATCCTATGCACTCCCTATCACCCCATGCATCCCACCCCACCAGGAGATGGACTACTGCGACACCATTCCAGCCAACACGGAAGTGAGCATTGTGCCGCCGCTCATGGGCTCCGTGCACTGTGTCTCGTTCTACTCCTGGACCCCAGAGGACTCGTGCGAGTCTGTGGCGGATGCGTTTGGGCTGACTGTGGATGGGCTGGTGGCGCTGAACCCAGGCGTCAACTGCACGGATGCCTCTGCAGAAAACGCTCCCCGCCAGAACCAGCAGGTTAGTCGGTTTGGCTGCAGTGTTTGGGCTTCAAGTGGTTGGCTATTGACGAGGCTGAACCCAAGGATCAACTGCCCTGCAGACAGCTGGAGGAGCTGGTGGCGCTGAACCCAGGCGTCAGCTGCACGGATGCCTCTGCAGGCAACGCTCCCCATGAGAACCAGCAGGTTAGAGAGACAGAGTGGTGATCAGATTTAGGGTTCAGGGAGTTCCTTGGGCTGACTGTGGATGAGCTGGTGGTGCTGAACCCGGGCGTCAGCTGCACGGATGCCTCTGCAGGCAACGCTCCCCACCAGAACCAGCAGGTTTGTATGTACATTGGCAGCCGTTTGGTGGGTTTGGTTGTGGACCGTGGATCGGTTGGTGGCGTTGAACCCGGGCGTCAACTGGATGGATAGCACTGGGGACATTTCTCCTTGTGAGAATCAGCAGGTGAGACGGAGTGATGAGCGCGGGTTTTGAGAGCAACAAGTGTCATGCTCCCATTACAAGCACATGTCCCTGCACTCCTTTCTCTCCCTACAGCCGTGTGTGTCCGAGGGCAATGGAGCGGACTTACCCATGTGCACGGAGTGGTACACAGGGCAGTTGGAGGACACATGTGAGAGCACCATGGCACCCACTCTCCCTTCCCCCACGCCCCCCCTCCTCTTCCTGCAGCTGTGTGTCTCAGAGGGCAACGGCGCCGATCTACCCATGTGCACACAGTGGTACACGGTGCAGGCAGGGGACACATGCGACAGCATCATGGCGGACAATGCCCTCAACAATACCACCTTCTTCTCGCTCAACCCGGGGATGTGCTGCGACAGCCTCTTCCCCTCCTTCGGAGGGGAGGACATGGGCTGGGTCGGCGGCGGTGTGCAGGTGAGAGGTGACTGTTAGGTATTTAGGTGAGGTTGGCTATTGGGGTGATTGGCTCTGCGTTCTCCTCATGTATTCCACCCTTAACCCGCGGGTGTGCTGCGACAGCCTCTTCTCGTCCTTCGGAGGGGAGGACATGGGTTGGAGCGGCGGCTGTGTGCAGGTGAGGGGATGGGTTGCTGGGACAGCCTCTTCCACTCCTTGGGAGGGGAGGGCATGGCTTGGGATGGCGGCGGTGTGCAAGTAAGGGCTGGTTTTGAGGTGAAGGGGTCTTCTCTCTTTGTGTGTTCTGCGCTCAACCCGGGGGTGGGCTGCGCTGCGACGGCCGGCTATTGTTGTCTTCTGGAGGGGCTGACATGGGTTGGAACGGTGGTGGAGGGGTGCTTGTGAGGGGCATGAATTTCGGGGCTTGGTTTTGTTTTCCTTGTGCGTCTCATGCTGCAGCCGGGGGTGGGTTGCGACAGCCTCTTCCCGTCCTTCGGAGGGCTGACCCAGGTAAGAGTGGCGGCAGGTGTGCATGTGAGGGGGTCTGTTGTGTAGTGAGTGTACAACGGTTTGGTTTTTATTTTCTTCTATGACTCAAAAGCATTGAGGCGATTGCCGGGCAACCACAGCATGACCACGGCATGACCACAGCATGACCACCGCATGACCACGGCATGACTACCGCATGACCACGGCATGACCACGGCATGACCACCGCATGACCACTGCATGACCACGGCATGACCACGGCATGACCACGGCATGACCACCGCATGACCACCGCATGAGCACGGCATGACCACGGCATGACCACAGCATGACCACGGCATGAGCACGGCATGACCACGGCATGACCACGGCATGACCACGGCATGACCATGGCATGACCACGGCATGACCATGGCATGCATGGAAATCCAAGGCACGCCAAGGCTCCACCCACCCAAGACATCAGCACCACCCACCCAAGACATCAGCCCCACCCATCCAAGACATCAGCCCCACCCACCCAAGACATCAGCCCCACCCACCCAAGACATCAGCCCCACCCACCCAAGACATCAGGCCCACCCACCCAAGACATCAGCACCATGTACTTGAATGGTGCACCATCCACCTTGGCTTCCGAAGGCAAGTCACATAAAAACGTCTCTGCACCTCAACACGCTGAGTTGAACTCCCTGTCTCTCCACCCTCTCATCCTCCTTCCCCCCCACCTTTCCTCTCCCCACTCTCTCATATTCGTCGCTCCCACCTTGTCTCACCCAGGTGTGCATCGACGCATACCTAGTGGATGCACCTGGTCCATACGCCACTCCCCGCTCACTCCGAGAGCTACCTGCTGCCCTTTCATCCCTCCCCTCCTCTCATCCATCGCTCCCCTCATTTCACCCTTCCCTCTCCTCCTCCTCCTCTTTCCCATCCTCCTCGTCCTTGTCAACAAGAGGGAGACTGCTGGGCCTCGACCACTCCTCGCCCCACTCCTCATCATTTCCTCAACTCCCAACCCTCTCTGCTCCCCGCTCATCTCGCTCAATGAGAGGGCGACAGCTGGCGAGGGCGAGAACCAAGTGCAAGGCGTCCTACCCAGTGACCCGAGGGGACTTCTGTGCGCGGATCATAGCGCTCAAGTTCCAGAACAACGCTCGCAAGATGGCCGATCTGAACAGCGGCTACGTGTGCGTCAATGACAGGCTGTATGTGGGGGTGACGCTTTGCACTAGAAGATGACAGCAGGGGTTTCTTGGCTGTCATGTGTGCCTCTGGGAAAGATGGCAGATTTGTAGTGTGCGGTACGTAGTCATTGTCGTCACTTACACCAGATGCAGGTACTATTTGTTGTGATATAATTCATACTTAGCATTTCTGTATGTCGTTTATCGATAGATAATATCGAATCCTACTGTAGAAGATAAGTCCGTAGGATGACGTCAGCAAATAGCGCTCGTCATGAGGACAGTCGTTTCTGTCACGCGAACAGTGGGATCTCTTCGTTATCATTTAGGGTGCATAGTGTGATAGTGACGAACAGGTATATTAGCGAACAGGTACTTTCCTAGAACTATAAATCCTTGTTATGCCTTTCCATTATTAACTTTGATTATCCACAAGTTCATGTGCTCAAGTTATTCAACCTTGACTATCATTCTTTTACAAGACTTCTGCTGTCTTACTAGTCTACCATTCCAGTAAAGATCCTAGGCCAACACTTGAGGTTTTCCAAGTGTTCTTGTTTGCAGATTCTTTATTTAGTCTCCTGCAACACCTGTTAAATTGTTATATGGTATGAGAGCTGTCTGGAATTAAGACTACTGTCAACAATTACTGGAACAACGCCAGCACAATTTACCGGATCAAATTCTGGAACTACTGGAGTACCTGTCTCCACGACCGCCACTGGTCTCTCAGCCTCTGGACCGTTTCCACCGGCTTATGCGCACATCGGTATGCAGCAATAGCAGCAGAATCCGCCTTCTGTCAGTACTCCAGGGATTTTCATCGACTGCACGTGCAGTGCAACAACAACAAACACAGACAACAGCACAACAACAGGCATCAGTACAACAACAGGCAACAGCACAACCACAGTTTTCAACTCAGTCAATATTGTCAGCGTTTAGTGGAATGAGTCTTGACGGCTCCAGCTCCAAGTACCGGCTCATTTGCATTCTCACCTTTTGCACAGCAGCCGCAGTCTCAGCAACAGCATCCCTTTTACATCTTCGGGCGTTCACCTGCTCAGCAACAACAGCAGCAGCATCAATAGCAACATCAGCAACCACAGCAACAACATCAACAGCAGCAACATCCACAGCAATTTCAACAACAGCAACAGCCTCAACAACAGGGTATTGTTTTTCAGCCGTCGAATTTGCTTAACAGCACACAGACCAAGGCAACCATACCTTTTAACAGAGTTGATTTTTACTCCTGGAGCTTCGAATTCGAGCTTCTGGCGCAGTCCGCAGGGCTATGGCCGTTCTTCACCGACGAATTTACGTATCCTGTTACGGGAACACAACTGGAGCAGCAGAGTTTTTTACACGCCTCTCTCGGGGCGTATACGGTTCTTGTTCGGAACTTATCGTCAAAGGAACAGCTCGGCGTTCGATCTTTTCATTCAAGCTTTACGCCAGCTGAAACTGCATGGAACCACTTGGAGGGGGTATACATGGCAAAAGATACAATAACAGTGAGTAAGATTCTTTCGCAGCTGACAAATGTGCAGATGATGACAAACGAGAATGTCATGGATTACGTCAATCGCGTCCGTACACTACGAGATCAACTGGAGAAGAGTGGGGGATACTTCCCTCGTGAGATGTATCTCACGGTCCTTCTTGCTGGACTCGGTCCCGAGTGGCGACAGACGGATAAATATTAAAGAGTGAAAATAGTAACGCTACTTCGTGTAGTGTTACATTTCACTTGGTGTAGCCCCTTGGAGGGTTGGTTTCGAGACTCTTCATGGTTGGGGACTCTGTGGTGGTGTACCACCAACCTGGACCTCGGCTCTTGGGGTATGTAGAGGCTGGGAACCATCTCCCCCTCGAACTCTTCTTGCTAAGTTTGTACTCCTAAGACTATAGTGGCTGCTTTACCTCCTGCCAGTCAAACCGCCATAGCATCGTCAAATCTTTATGAAATTTCATGATTCAACTTGCTGCTGATAGTTGACACCAACGCGCTTCAGATCCAACTTACAGATCACCGTTTGATTCAGCGACCAGATCGTTATCAATATTTGAAGCCGTCTAACGGAAATCCGACTGTGCTCTCTATCTCTCATTATAGGCACATCTAAGCCTATTGTGGTTATAACAAGTGGTATCAGAGCCCCTTGGAGCCGTCTCGACCATGCCTAGACCTGAGGAAGGGGGTGGCAGAGGTGTTGGAGGCAGAGAAGACGCCCAAGCACAAGGTCAACACCAAGATCCACCCGTTGCTCCGGTGCAACCTAGTCTTGGACCCTCTAGGGATGAGCCTAGAGTGTTTGGCCTTGACAAGTTCAACGGTGACAACTTTGCTGAGTGGTCCTTCAAGATGGAGAACATCTTTGACCACTATGATCTGCTGGAGGTGATGGAAGGAACGGAGAAGCGCCCCGAGAACGACCCGGAGAAGAGCCCGTGGGTGCGGAAGAGCGCACAAGGCTACCTTCTACTTGGGCAAGTGTTGGGGAGCAACCAAATCCGTCACATCAAGCCTTTTCAGCGTGAACCAGCAAAGGGACCAAAGGCATGGGCTGCTCTCAAGGGTGTACACGCTCCTGCAACAGCGGCGGTGGCTGTGGTTTTGGAGCGGCAAATGGCGGCACTTCGAATTGACGAAGGCGAACCGGTGGAGGAAGGAGTGCAGAAATTCTTCGACTTATTGACACGGCTCGAAGGAGCTGACATGAACTACAGTGACCTTCAAAAGAAGACCAAGCTGCTAGCCTTACTTCCGGACTCATTGTCCTCGCTCATCATTAACCTTAATCGAGATCTGCCCCGTCTCTCACTCGAAGATGTGAAGCGGGAAATCTTACAAGAAGATTTCCGCCGTCGCGAATTGGCGGGTCCCGATGGTGCCGGAGTTGCAAGCATGAGCCGTGGGCATGGCCGTGGAAGGGGCAGAGGGCGAGGAGGCAGATTTGGCAGCAGTAACTTCAGTGGAGGCCGTGGTAATGGAGGATATGGCAGCAACAACAACAACAATGGCTACGGGCGTGGGCGCGGTCGATTTGATGGCGAATGCCACTTTTGCCACAAGACCGGCCACATGTGGAGAGATTGCTTCAGATTGCCTGATGGATGGACCCCTTCTCAGGGCCAAGAGGGCAGAGGAGTAAGGGGAGGAAGAGGCAGAGGTCATGGAGGCCGTGGTGGCCGTGGAGGCGAAGCGGCAAGCATGAAAGGTGGAGACTACGACAAGGACTCGAGTGAAGATCGATACCCGGGCCAATTCTTCTTTGTCTCCACACAAGCGGCAGCTGCAGCAGGAGGTGTGGAAGGCTTTGAGGAGCCAGCTACTGTGGGAAAGGTCACCCTTCACTCTCTGGACTTTTGGGTGATCGATAGCGGCGCCACCTACAGCATGACACCTCGTGCGGACTTGCTCACTGAACTCGAACCGTCGCCGGTCAAGCATGTTACATCGGCTTTGGGGCAGCGAGCAGAGGTGAAAGGCATGGGCAAGGCCATGTTCAAGGGTGCTGATGGGAAGATGGTGGGCCTCAAGAACGTGCTTTGGGTGCCCAACCTTGCAGCCAACCTGATCTCTGTTCGGCGTTTGCAAAAGGCCGGCATGGACACATCTTCCAAGGGCTCCAAAACATATACCGCGAGGCTTGGTGAGCGGAAGCTTTGGGACCTTCATGAGGACAGGGACATCTACAATGAGATGTGGCAAATCCCAGTGGTCCCCATGCCTAAGGGAAGGCAAGTGGCAGCAAGCGTCAGCACCAAGAGTGAAGCGGTTGGTGGCGGTGATCACAGAAAACAAAGTGACACCAAGAGTAACTCGAAGGAGTGCAACCTTGGAGAGACCAGCAAGGCGTGTGAACCCAAGGAGAGTGGTGCAGCAGCCAAAGGTGGTGGAAATGAGGAGGAGAAGCCTAAGTTCAGCAAAGCAGCAGCGGCGAAGGAGAAAGGAGAGAGCTTGTGGGGCACGATTGCGAGTGCCGCTTTCTCCAACCCGACTTCCGCTACGGGAGAGTGTGATTGGCTGACCTTGCATCGGCGAATGGGGCATGTGGCATTGCCCATTTTGCAGCAGATTGTTAAGCAAGAGATGGTCAGTGGGATACGTGTCAAGGGGGAGCCCAATGAGGTGCTTGGCTGTCCAACATGCATGCAAGCCAAGTTCACCCGCTACCCGTTCCATAGCTCGGAGACAACGGCGAAGGCACCACTTGATGAGGTGGTGATGGATGTGGTGGGCCCCTTGAAGCTTGGAGCTGCTGGAGCAAAGTACTTCCTCACCATTGTGGACGTCTACACTCGCATGACTTGGGTGTATGTGCTGCCGAAGAAGAGTGACGTAGCTGAAACGGTGAAGACCGATTGGTTGCCGATGGTGGAGCGGCAACAAGACCGACTTGTGAAGGCGATTCGCACTGACCGTGGGGGAGAGTTCGTGAGCAAGGATTTCTCAACTTGGCTGAAGAAGCAGGGCATAAGGCACTCTCTTACCATGCCCTACTCTCCTGCAATGAACGGCATCGCCGAGCGTGCGAATCGGACACTCACGGAGACGGCTCGGGGACTTCTCATTGAAGCCGGTCTTCCCAATTACTTTTGGCCGGATGCGGTGCGGCATGCTTGTGTGGCCAAGAACAAAGCCTTGACTCATATGGGAGAAGACAAATGGGTGCCCTATGTGGAGTGGATTGGAAGGAAGCCGAAGGTGGATATGCTTCGGGTGCATGTGCATGGCACTTGTGCCTAAGAAACTTCGGCACAACAAGCTTGATGCCAAGGCAACATGGGCCGTGCACCTGGGCATGGCTCAAAACAGCAAGGGATGGCTTCTTTGGGACCCATTTACCAAGAAGTTCTTGGTGAGCAGAGATTGCAAGTTCATGGAGAACTTACCGTACAAGGAGTGGAAG